ACCGAGGGACATGCACTGCTGGGGGAGAGACTGTGAGAGACTTGGCTGAGAGACGGTGGGCTGGGAGAGAGACTGAACGTTTTTCCTGAACTTGAATTGTAGCCTGGTGCTTCCCTAATAAACCCCATAATCTGTGAGTTCTGTGTGGCCACTGCAGCGAATTATCGAACCCAGGAGAGAGGTGGTGGGTGCTTTGGGAGGAACGGTTGGAGAAAGGGCTAGAGGGAGGCAGCACATCTGGCCTTGTAGGAATAGGCCTTGGGTTACTGCTGGTAATCCTGTCTTCCTCTTGTGGGATTAGAGGAGGTCAGAACACGTGGCCTCCAACTCCAAATCATAAAAAAGACCACGTTTGCTGGTCTGATAGAGCCTGGTGAGACCCCTGAGACTATGGCCCCTAGTTGTCCTTCAGGCCTGGAATTGAACTCACTCCTGTGGCTTCTAGTCAAACAATAGACAGGCATAGAGGGTGAACATTTATATCAAGTAGATATACTCCTTATAATGATCAATCCTGGGAGAACAGAAGGGCAGTATTTGCTCCGGGAGATGTCTCGGGGGAAGGAATGCCTAGGTAAGAAGGTAACTACAGGGAAGAAGTGGCAAGAGAGCTGTTACATTATGGGGATTGCTATCAATGTCATGAAACTAAATGTGTATGAACTGCTGTATGGAAAATGAATCTGCTCTGCAAACTTTCACGCAAATCACAATGAAAATTAAAATATATAAATATGGCTCTTCTAGCCATGGTCTTTGTGACTCTCATCAGATGACTGCATGGGACTATGCAAATGTAAGGTGCTTGTGGCCCATCATGGGAATTAGATAGCTTGCTAATCATGTAAATAAGGTACATGGTACTCTTGTGGGGGTGGGACCGTGCAAATAAGGTATATGGAACCCTAACATGAGGATTGGTCAGTTTTTCCATCTGCTAGTCTAGCTCTGGTGGTGTAGTGCCTAAGGCATTTGATGGCTAATCAGAAGGCTGGTGGTTCAAACCCACCAGCCACTCCTCAGAAAGAAGATTGGGCAATCTACTTCTGCAGAGATACCACCTTGGAAATCCAAGGAGGGGTAGCTATGAGTTGAAAATGACTTTACAGCAGTGAGTATGGGTTTTTGTTGTTGTTGTTGTTGTTTGGTTAGTACTAAAATGAGCCATCCTAGAGGTGGAAAGGGGGATCTCATTGCCATCAAGAGAGAAGAGCTGGGAGTGGAGAGGGTCCTTGGATCCGAGATCCCTTCACTGGACCTTCTTGGCAAAGAGGTGGCTACCGTAGAGGCAGCAGAACCAACAGAAGCAAGAGACTGGCACAAGACAGAGCAGTGGGCTTGCTGGCCCATGGAGCAAGAAAGCTGAATGCCTTTGGGCAGGAGGCTTGCTGGCAGAGTGGGGTACATCTACCAGCAGAGTTAGCAGAGCTCTGTAACACTTGTCTGGGCAGGGCAGAGGCCAGGCTGAGAGGCCAAGGGCCAAAGAAAGGCATGCCGGTAGCACAGCTAATAAGAAGCTATCCTGATTGAAGAACTACATCCTGAGTTGTTTCTGATCCTGAATTGTAACCTGTTACTGTGAGTTCTGTGTGGCCATTGCAATGAATTATCAAACCCAGCAGAGAAGTAGAGAGTGCCATGGGAGGAACAGATGGCTTCAGAATTGGTAAAAAAGGTTGGAGGGTGGGGGCATGTCTGACCTCCACCTCATAGGAAGCAGCCTTGGGCTGTTGATTGTTCTGGATCCTCCTTATCCCTTGCCAAGTTAGAGGAGTTTGGACTATGCCACCTCCACATCCTTTTTGCAATTGGCCAAGAATTGAACCCACGTCTCCTACACATTAGGCACTCAGAATTGATTAAATGAGTGAACCATATCTGTGATGAGACTCTGCAGAAATGAAAACCTTATTTAGAATCTGAGGGACTGGGATTGACTAATGGCAAAAACAATCACAGTTCTTTATCCTCTCTGAACCCACCCCCTTTGCAATATGACTCTGAGGCTCCTCCTATCCAAAAGTGGGACCTATTTCCCTACTCACTGATTCTGACTGTCCATATGACCTCTTTTGGCCAATAACGCATGATAGGGTGCCAATTCCGAGCCTAGGCCTTAAGAGGCCATGACAATAACTTGATGGGTGAGAATTGGCATAAAGGCAATTTCCAGGAGGCAGAGATCAATTCTATCCCCATGTTCCCACTTTCTCCATCTCTTCTAACACCAGTCTCCCACACAGCACCCTGTCTCTCTGCTCCTGGCCTCCTGGTGCTAGGTCAAGTTAACAGGACACCACCATTGTCCACTCAGATTCAGTGTGACCCCATGTGTGCACAGTAGAACTGCTCCATAGGGTTTTCAAGGCTGTGATTAGGAAGCAGATCACCACACCTGTCTTCTGAGATGCCTCTGGGTGGGTTCAAATCACCAACCCTTTTGCTAGTAGTTGAGGACTTAACCGTTTGCACCATGCAGGGTAAAAGGACACACATCAGGGTTATCATAAGGAGGAGATACGTGGGTGAGGTCTGGGAATGTTCCCTGTGCAGAGCCACAGTGTCTCAGAGAAGGCACGCCACCCTCCCTTCACTGATCAGGCAGCTCCCTGAGGCTCCATGATCTGGGCATTTATTGGCCAGTCCTGCATGATAGGCGAAATCATACCTCCTGACACCAGTTGATACCAGCCTCTCAAGTGAATCTTTTCTGGTCTGGCCAGCCCTCCTCATACCAGCACAAATCCTCAGAAGTCCCAGACCAATGCACCCCAGTTACTCCAAGGGTTATTTCTCTATAGCCAACAACAAAGGCCAACTTACTTAGGCTAAAACTAGGTGCTTTAACCCACAGAAGCTTGTGCATTTCAGCTTGCTGACTTGAAACCCAACCTTATGACTGCATGGGCTAGCCTGCTGGGGGATAATAGGTGGAGCAGGGTTGAGTGGTCTCAATCAAAGTCCTCTTGACTCAGCCAGATCCCAGACGTCCCTCTAAATGACTGCAGATGCATGAACAAATCCAGCTGAGACAAGACAGACCACCCAGCTGAGCCTAGACTGAATCTCCAATGCACAGAAGATAAATTAAGTAAATGGCTGTTTGGGGTGTTTTGTTGTACAGCTATAGCTAACTGATGCAGGAACAAAGGCCACGATTCTGATACTGGGAAGTGAACCAGTGGTAGAGGGTCTAGAGAACACGAGGAGGAAGTGGGTCATCAGCTCTTCTTTCCGAGGCTCACCTGTGTGCCCAGTGAGCATGTGGGTCACCTGGTGCTCTTTCATGTCCCAAACAGCCACGGTGCCATCCTGCGTGCCAACCACCAGCAGCAGCTCTTCCAGGCTCCATGCCATCGCAGTGATGCCTGCAGCCACACAGACAACAGTGATGTTTTATCTATGAGCACCTACTTCATAGATAAGGAGACAGAGGGATGGACAGTGCCTCACAGCTAGGAAGGGGCAAAAGCAGGGTTTTGAAGCCAGGGCAGTCAGATACCAGAGTCAGATGCTCAGTTGTGAGGTTAGGTAGTATTTCAGATTCACTTATGTCTCCCTGTACCTGTTTGGAAATAGAGGGTTTCTTTTGTTATGTTAATGAGGTTGTACCAGAATAGGGTGGGTCCTCACCCTAATCACTTCTGAGTTGTTGTTGTTATGTGCCATCGAGTCAAACCTGACTCATAGCAACCCCTCCTTGGGTTTCCGAGGCAGTATCACTACAGAAGTAGGATTGCCCAACCTTCCAATCACTTCTGAGTGGTGTCTTATAAACAGAGCAGAAAAGACATAGAAACATGTACAGGGGGGAAGACACATGCCAAGGACCCAAGGAATGCCAGGAGGAGAAAAGGAAGGGAGAAAGGGAAGAATGGGTAGATGGAAAGAGAGGTGAGGGGATGGATGGATGAATAGAGGTATGGAAGGAAGGAAGGATGCATGACTGATGGAAGGACGGATGACTGATGGAAGGACAGATGAAAGGACAAATGGAAGGAAAAGTGGATGGATGGGTGGAGAAAGGGAGGGATAGATGGATGGGTGAATGGCCAGTAAGTGGGTAGGTGGCTGATGGAAGGGTGATGACAGAAGGATGGATGTAAAGATGGTTGGAAGGATGGATGGATGGGTGGGTGGGTTGGGAGGTGGGTGGGTGAGTGGATGGATAGGTGCATAGATGAATGGAAGGAAGGGTGGATGGATAGATGGGTGAGCAGATAGATAGAAGGATGGATGGAAGACAAACAGATGGAGAGAACTAAATAAACACTCTTCTCCCCCTGACAATCCAATGTTCTGGGGGAGTCTACGATTCCATCTGTTTCTCAGCAGCTGGTCAGGAATCAGTCTCTGGCTTCCAGAGCACATGAACATAAATCTGTCAATTGCAGCAACTCTCTGTAAGATGGGAGCTTGGTGTCTCTGAGATGCAGCTGGCATCCCCACAGCCCAGGCTCATTAGCAGTATTTACACTGGTAATCTATAGTCCCTGGGGAGTCAGAGAGAGCCTAGTCAGCGTGAGACAACAAGGGCTCACTCTGATGACACCCTTGGGGCTGCTGACTGGCAGAAGGGACCCCAGAGAGTAGCCCAAAACACCTGCCCTGAGTGCCCCAGGCAAGCTGGGGCCTGGAGGCATATTTACGATGCTGGGGAGACTCACCTTTGTGGCAGCCAGTGAGGGTGGCCAGGAGGGGCCCGCCAGGGGGCTGGAGGAACCCTATGAGGGGCACCAGCACTGGGTGAGGACACGCCCGGAACCAGCTCTGTGCCTGTTGGCACAGCTGCCCCACCAGTGTCGGGTGTGAGGTGGCAAAGAAATGGAGTCTGGCCAGGAGTTCCGTGTAGAGGACACTTCTCTCTAGAACAAAGGGGTGCATGTTAAGGGGGGACACTGTTGGTCAGATAGAGGCACGCTTCAAGGGCTGCGGAAGAGAAGATGTAGAACCTCAGCTATAGCCCCTGTGTTCCTTCCAGCCTTGTTCTCTGCCCTCCAACCACACTCCCTCTCAAGTGCGCCAGGCTGTTTGTAAGGGGATTTAGGGAGGGATGCAACACTTATGGAAGCAGCAGTCAGGACATCAGATGACGGACGTATAGCACTGGGCAAATCGACTGCAAAGGACCTCTTTCAATTGCTGAAGAGTAAAGATGTTTCCTTGAGGATTAAGGTGCACCTGACACAAACCATGGTATTTTCAATCGCCTCATATGCATGTGAGAGCTGGACAATGAATAAGGAAGGAAGACTGAAGAAGAGTTGATGCTTTTGAGCTGTAGTGTTGGTGAAGAATGCTGAAAGTACCATGGACTGCTAAAAGACCTAATAAATCTGTCCCAGAGGAAGTGTAGCCAGAATGCTCCTTGGGAGCAAGAATGGCCAGACTTGGTCTCACCTACTTTGGTCATGTTGTCAGAAGGGACCATTCCCTGGAGAAGGATATCATGCTTGGTAAGGTGGAGGGTCGACGAAAGAGGGGAAGGCCCTCAATGAGGTGGATTGACATGGTGGTGGTGTCAATGGGCTCAAGTGTAGCAGGAATCGTGGAGCTGGTTCAGGACTGGGTGGTGTTTCGTTCTGCTGTGCATAGGGTCACTATGAGTCAGAGACAACTTGATGGCACTTAACAACAAGCAACACTTAGGTCGTTGTCCTGATCTTGTGTAAGGGAAGTTTCCCTGCAGTGTGGCCTGCATCACTTTTTATCTTCCAAGAGATACAAGGAGAGAGAAGCAAGCAGACAAGGCAGGGCCTGACTGACCAGAAAAGAGGAGCTGGGAGCAGAGTGCAGCCTTTGGACCAGGGTCCCAGGTTGAGAAATTCCTAGGCCAGGGAAAGATTGAAGCCGAGACACATGGGGATCTCCAAGGAACACTGGGCCCACAGATGTTGAGAGGAGACAAGGACATCCCCCAGAGCCGACAGAGAGAAAATCTTCCCCTAGAGCTGGCACCCTGAATTTGGACTTCCAGTCTCCTGAACTGTGAGAGCATAAATGTGTTTGTTAAAGCCACCTGCTTGTGGTATTCCTAGTAGCAGCACTTAATGGTGAAGAATGATGGTTTCCCTGGCACTTGTCAGTTACAGAGGGTATCGGTTTCTGGTAGCTGTTGTACCAAAACAACTTAGGTGGCTGGAAACAAACCGAAAAACCTCTGTTCTTTCACAGTTCTTGTGGCCAGAAATCTGAAAGCAAAGTGTCAGTAGAGCTGTGTGCCTTCCAAAGATGCAAGAGGAGACTCAGTTTCCTTCCTTCCCATCTTCTAGTGGTGTCAGGCATTCCTGGGCTTTGCCCACATGACTTCCATCTCTGCCTCTGTTGTCACACGACCTTCTCTTCTGTGTGTCTCTGTGTCTTGTCTTCCGTCCGTCTCAACTTTCCCTCTGCCTCTCTCATAAGGATACATGTGATTGCAGTTAGGGCCCTCACGGATAATCCAGGATAAGCTCCTCCTCTCGAGATTCTAAATTTAATCACACCATTTGCCGTTAAAGGAAATGTTGGCAGGTTGTGGGCATTGTTGTCAGTCGCCTTGGAGTTGGCTCTGACAGCGACCTTACGTAAAACAGAATGAAAGGTTGGCCAGTCCTGTGTCATCCTCGCAATCAGAAGCACATCTGAGCCCATCCCTGCAGCTACTGTACCACTTCATCCCACTTAGGGTCACCCTCACCTCACTGGCCCTCTCCTTAACCAAACACAGCATCCTCCTCCAGTGACTGGTCCCTCTTGATGACGTGTAGGAAATGTTCTGTTGTGATCCGTAAGGTTTTCATTGGGTGGCTTTTGGAATTTGATTGCCAGGCCTTTCTTCCTAATCTGTCTTAGTCTGGAAGCTTTGCTGAACCCTGTCCACCATGGGTGACTCTTTGGTATTTGAAATTGTCTTAATTATCTAGTGCTGCTATAACAGAGGGAGCTCTGGTAGCGTAGTGCCTAAGGCACTTGACTGCTAACCAGAAGGCTGGCGTTTCAAACCCACCAGCCACTCCTCGGAAGGAAGATGGGGCAATCTACTTCTGTAGTGATACCACCTCGGAAACCCAAGGAGGGGTCGCTGTGAGTCGAGTCCGACTCGAGTGCACAACAACAGCTGTAACAGAAACCCCACAAGTGGATGGCTTTAACAAACAGAAATTTGTTTTCTCACAGTTAGGGGGCTGGACGTCCCAATGCAGGGTGTTGGCTCTAACGGAAGGCTTTCTCTCTCTGCCGGCTCTGAAGGAAGGTCCTTGTCTTTCTGACCTTCTGCTCTTGAGTGATGTGCATGTGGCTTGGCATCTCTCCTCCTCCATCTCTACTTCCTCACTTGCTTTTTAAATCTCTTCTGTCTCATTAACATAACAAAGAAAATCATTCCCAAATGAGATTATAATCACAGCATGTTGTTGTTGTTGTTATGTGCTGTCAAGTCAGACCCAAGTTGACCCAACTCACAGCGACCCCTCCTCGGGTTTCCAAGGCGGTATCACTACGGAAGTAGATTGCCCCATCTTCTTTCCGAGGAGTGGCTGGTGGGTTTGAACGGCCAGCCTTCTGGTTAGCAGTCAAGTGCCTTAGACACTATGCTACTAGAGCTCCCTTATCACAACACAGGAGTTAGGATTTACAACACATGTTTGTGAGGAACATAAATCAATTTCATAACACCGTGGCATAGCTCCCAGCATCACAGCAACACCAATCCACCACCAGATGACAGACAGACAGGTGGTGGTGCAAGGCTTAGAAAGTGAATATATCTTTGGAAGGCCATTTCTTCTACTCACCACAGAGATGAATCATGATTATATCCCAAGTTTATAAAGTGGTATCACTACAGAAGTAGATTGCCCCATCTTCCTTCCGAGGAGTGGCTGGTGGGTTTGAAACGCCAGCCTTCTGGTTAGCAGTCAAGTGCCTTAGGCACTACGCTACCAGAGCTCCCTCTGTTATAGCAGCACTAGATAATTAAGGCACAGAGAGGTTAAGGACAGTTAAACACAGACAGTGAGAGGCAGGAAGCCGACCCCCAAAATTTGATTCTAAACCCTGAGGAAGATGAACTGCTGAAACAGACTGTTCATTCTGTTCGCATTTCCTTAACTGTGGAGGCTGGCTTGGTTTTCTGGTGAGTGAAAGAAGGTAGGACCAGGGGCAAAGACCCTAGACATAAAATTTAAGGTGGCCCCAACAGACTCAATCATCAAAATAAACACCATTTTAATGTATATGTATGTATGTGTGTGTGTATATATATATATATATATATATATATATATATATATTCAAATGAAAATTAGTGCAAAAAAAAAAATCATAGTGACTAAAATATTAACCAGAATCAGTAATGGTGCCTAATTGGAGCCTAATTGGAGAAAAATTGAGAATGATTATGTCTTCATTTAAAATGTTCATGTTTTAGTTGTCTGTCTGTTTATTTAAGATCCCTGGGTCATGCAGTTTGCATTGGACTAATTACCTAAAGGTTAGTGGTCCCAACCCACTCAGTGGTCCTATGGAAGAAAAGCCCGGTGATCTTCTGTTAAGATTACAGCCAGTAAAAGCCCTACGGAGCCGTTCTACTCTGTAACACGTGGGGTCACCACAAGCCAGAGACTGACTCGACAGCCCCCTCCCTCACTGCCGTGGAGTCGATTGCGACTCGTAGCGACCCCTCCTTGGGTTTCTGAGGCGGTATCACTACGGAAGTAGATTGCCCAACCTTCCTTCCGAGGAGTGGCTGGTGGGTTTGAACCGCCAGCCTTCTGGTTAGCAGTCAGATGCCTTAGGCACCACACCACCAGCAGTGAGGTTTTATTCATTTGATTGTTTTGTTTGTTTATTTCAGAGTGCTCTGCAATGTTCTGAGAGTGAATGGTGGCCCAGAGCGCCCTCTGGTGGTGATATCCTGTCCTACGCCTCCTCCCGTTATTGTGAGTGAGAGGACACAGGTAAATCAACCGGCTCTGTTAAGAAGAACAGGCAGTGATTTGGGCTTTTAAATCTTCCCACGACTGAGGAGTTGTACCCAAGGTTATTTTGGGGGGAAATCTTTCTCTCTGGCGTTTGTGATCCCTGGTGAGCACTTCCTACATGACAGTTTTTCTAGTTGTCTTCAAACCCTGACCATTCCATCTCTGTTCCCATCTCCCCCTCTTGGTCACCCAGGCCTAGGGCAGAAGTAGCTTGTCCCAGACCATTCATGTGGCAATAGCAGGGTCCTTACCACAGGCTGGGTGCTGCATAAAACTGATTTATACAACCGTCCCCAAAACCCCAAGTGGACAGGCCTATCTGTGTCCCCAATTTTACAGCTGGGAAAACTGAGAATGGGGGTGTTTAAAGGACTTGCAAGGCCACACTACTGGTAAGTAGCAGAGATAGGATTTGAAGGGAGACATGGAACTTGAAACCCATGCTCTGGGCGAGGACTCAGGCGAGTAGATAGCAGGGGTAGAAATTTGGACTGAATGCCACCCCTAGCCCCCCAGAGCTTAGAGTATGGTGGGGCAGACAGGTGATACAAAAAGAAACCAATAGAAATAACAATAAAGGACTAAGATGGATGGAAGCACAGGTCAATAGCAGAAAACGCAGGGGGGGGGGCAGGTGCCTGCTTCAGTGAAGGCTGGGCAAGGCTTCTCCCAGGAAGTCCAAGGCCACAAGAAGGGCCAGGGGAGGCCAGACTTGACCCCAGGGCCCTGTGAAAGTGAGTGCTATAGCCTAGCCTGGGTGCATGAGCTTGAAAGTTTCCCTCTCCAAAAGTCTGGGACAGCAGGAGCAAAACAAGTCTCTCTCAGGGGGGTGGGTCAAGCAGGGCCCTCTAGGTTGCAGTGGCAGATGGGTCTTCACCCAAAGAGAAATGGGAGACTATCTAGAAGATTTAGCAGTGAGCTATTCAGTGATATTTGGGCTTTGGAAAGATTCCTCTGGCTGCCGAGTGGAAAATGACCTAGGAGGTGAGAAGGTGAACAGAGCCCAGAGGAGGCTTCTGCAATGGTCCAGGCTGGTCACCATGGAGACAGAGAGATGTAAAAGAGTTTAAGAAGCCCTTCCTAGAGCCAAGATTAGAAGCTGGCATTTGGAATTGCAGGCCATTGCTACTTCTCACCTGTGAAGAGGCACTTTAGACAAAGGGACTTAAGCATATGTTATGGACTGAATTATGTCCTCCAAAATAGGTACTGGAGTCCTGACTCCTGTAAGCACAATCCACTCTGGAAATAGGGTTTTCTTTGTTATGTTAATGAGGCTTGCTCATGTAAGATGGGTCCTAAATCTCATCACTTCTGAGTGATGTACAGAGCAGCCTAGACAGAGACAAGGTGAGCACAGATGATGGAAAGATGGACGCCACCTGGAGATGGCCAAGGAATCAAGGAATGTCAAGAGAAGCGGAGGCAAGGATTTGTGCCCAGAGCGGACAGAGAAAGAGCTTTCCTTTAGAGCTAGATCCCTGGATTTGGACTTTTAGCTTCGTGAACTGTGAGAAAATAAATGTTTGTTAAAGTCACCCCCTTGTGTTACTTCTGTTACAGTAGCACTAAGAAGCAAAGACAGCATCTTTATGAAAACTCTCCCACCAAAACCAGATGGGGATTGTATGATAAAAATAGCCCTGGGCAGAACAGCAACTGATGACTCTGAGAAATGCTTCCAAGTGTAGGTCAGGCACTGCCAACTCCAGCCCCCAGGCCAAATTCACCCACGCTGCCACCTGAGAGCTAAGCATGGACAGCTGTCATTAGGTGCCGTTGATTCAGCTCCGACTCATAGTGACCCCGTGTCCAACAGAACGAAACACTGTCCAGTCCCATGCCAGCCTCATGGTCCTCGCTATGCTTCAGCCCATCATTGCAGCCACTGTGTCGGTTCATCTCATTGAGGGCCTTCCCCTTCTTCACTGAGCCTCTACTTTATGAAGCATGACATCCTTCTCCAGGGAGTGGTCCCTTCTGACATGATCAAAGGAGCTGAGATGATGTCTCGCCATTCTTGCTCCCAAGGAGCATTCCGGTTGCACTTCCTCCAGGACAGATCTGTTCATTCTTCTAGCAGCCCATGGTATCTTCAATTTACAGATGAATATTTGCAATTGATTGGATGATAGAAAAACCACCTTTGAACCCCAATTAAGCAAAAAAGAAAGAAAAGAATTCCCAATTGCTCACTAGCAGAATGATTGTTATTATATTACTAAGATCTATCTATGTTACTGTTCTGGTTCCCTAGTGCTACTCTGACAGGAATATACCACCAATGGGAGGCATTAACAAATAGGAGCTCATTCTCTTATAGTTTGGAGGCTTTAAGTCTGAGTTCAAAGTGCCAGGCTCTAGGGGCTGAGTGAAAGCCCCTCAACCTTGGGCCTCAGCTCTGCCTCCTGCTCCTGGCCCACTGAAGCTGGGAGCTTTTCTTCACTCAGACAGCTGCTGGCTGCTGAGGCTGCCAAGCCCAAGGTTGACAAGTGAAAAGGCACAGTCCTGATGTTACCAAACCACATGGCAGGCCATTGATTCAAGTCCATTGAAAATCCCAAGATCGGCAGAGCATGGCAGGCTGCTGAACAACAACTCGGCTACATACAGGGTCCAAGCGTGCCATAAGCTACAGACCGTTCCCCAAGCCACTGCTTATATACAGGAAGCAGACCACATCCCTAAAGCAGCTACTCAGCTGCCTGTGGTAGATCCCACCATGGAGCTGATTGCCAGTTTCATCATGGGGAATAACTACCACCAGCTGCCCAGCCACTCAACCAGGCCATCCAAGCTGACACACAACCTTAACTACCACAGGTGTTATTGTTAGCTGCTGTCAAGTGGACTCCCTCATGGGGACCCCATGTACATCAGACCATTGTGATCTACAGGGTTTTCACTGATTGATTTTTGGAAGCTGATCACCAGGCCTTTCTTCCTGGCCCCTCTTAGTCTGGAAGCTCCGCTGAAACCTGCTCAGCGTCCCAGCAACGTGCCAGCCTCCGCTGATGGACAGGTGGAGGTTGTGCCCGTGCTGCATCAGCCAGGAATCAAACCCGGGGCTCCCGCACGGAGGGCGGGAATTCTACCACTAAGGCCCCTCTGCTCTCTCTGCTCATTAGCAGACCTGGGTTATAAAGAAGCTGTCCTCGGCAGTTATTACTATATTTCAAATTTTGTTGATAAAAAATGTATTGTTATGTACCTTTCACCAAAAAATTTAAAAAAAAAAAATAAAACAGCTGCCAGTGAGCTGATTCTGACTCCCAACAGCCCTGTGAGTGTCAGAGTAGAGCTGTGGGTTTGCACTGGCTGAGTTTTGGGAAGTAGATTGCCAGGCCTTTCTTGCAAGGCACTTCTGGATAGACGTCCAACCTTTTAGTAAGTAGCTCAATGAAGGGCATTCACCTCTTATACCATCCAGGGGCTCCATTGTTATATATATCAAACCAAAACGACCCCGCTGTCATCGAGTCAGTTCTGACTCACAGCAACCCTACAGGGCAGAATAGGACGGGCCCATGGGGTTTCCAAGGGTGTAATCTTTAAGGGAGAAGACTGTCACCTCTTTCTCCTGCAGAGTGGCTGGAGGGTTCAAACTATTGACTCTTCTGTTAGCAGCTGAGCGATTAAGCACTGTGTCACCAGGGCTCCTGTTGTTATATATCCAAAATCAAACCAAACTCACTGCTGTCAAGTCAGATGTGACTCATAATGACCCCTTCTTGGTTTTCCAAGGTGGCATCTCTATGGAAGTAGATTGCCCAACATTCCTTCCGAGGACTGGCTGGTGGGTTTGAACCTCCAGCCTTCTGGTTAACAGTCAAATCAAATGCCTTAGGCACTACACCACCAGAACTCCTATTGTTATATATTAAGTACCTGCATAGTATTGATTTTGCTCTAAAACATTTCCGGCTGGTGCTTTACTGGAAAAGGGGACTGAGCCTAGAGCAAGAAGCAGGCACCGTGATGGAGTTTTCTCGCCAAAGCGTGTCCCGGTGCAAGGGAAACCTCCCAGGCCAGGAGAAGAACACCCACAGATTCAGACAGGAAGGGGCATGAGTTAGTGGAAACCCAGCTGCACCCAGCGAGCAGAGCGGGCTTCTAAAGCTCCAGAGCCGCCCTCCTGGAGCAGCAGCCCCACTCACCCGGCCCTCGGAGCTCCATGGCAGGGCGGGCGAGCTGCAGCGCCTCACGGACCAGGCCGACTTCGGGGGAGTCCACATGCGGGGCACACAGGTCAAAGTCATCCAGGAGGGCCTCGAGGCCCCGGGACATGGCCTGGCAGGAGATCCAGCTCATGCTGCCTGTGCGATGAGGAGGAGGAGAAGGAGGAGAGAGAGGAGCTGGGTGGACCTGCTGCCCTGGCCACACTGGGCTCGCACGCCCTGCAAGCTGGGTGTAGGGGTCACCTCCTGATTCTGCCGGGAGGCTCTCAGCCTTGGCGCTGCTGATATTCACAGCTGGGTCATTCCCTGGGGTGAGGCCATGCTGTGCACTGCAGGGTGTTGAGAAGAATTCCCGGCCTCTACGCACTGGATGCCAGGAGCACTCCCCCATCCCCCGTTTTGAAAACCAAAAATGTCTCCAGACATTGCCAAGTGTCTCCTGGGGCAAATTACACCTGATGGAAATCTGCTGAGGTAGATAAATAGAAGATAGATGATAAATGATTGATAGATAGGGATAGATAGGTAGATAGCTCAACCAATGATAGATGATAAGAGGGGACAGATGATAGTAATAGATAGGCGATAGGTAGACATGAGAGATGATAGATAGACAGACAGATGAGAGATGATAGACAGATAGCTAGATGATACAGATAGGTAGGGAGGTAGGTAGAAAGGAAGGATAAAATAGGATAGACAGAGTCTCTTATGCTAAGACAGAGTTTCTCTACCTCGGCACTACTAACATTTGGTTCTGAAACCTTCTCGGCGTGGGACCATCCTCTGCATAGTAGGATATTAAGCAATATCTGTAGTCTCCACCTCCTTGATGCCAGTAGTACCCTCTCCCCCTGTTGTGACAACCAAAAATGTCTCCAGACATCCATCACCAGTGTCCCCTGAGGACCAGGACTGCCCCAGTGAGAATTGCTGCCATAAGAGGAGCCAGGGATCTCTCTTTTCCCTCCCCCACCACCTAAGGCTCCTTGAGCAGAGTGAGGCGGTGGGTCCTGGAAGGTCTTACCCAGCACGTCCTGCTTCAGTTCCTCGATGCGGCCTGAATGGAGCAGGTGGAAGGGTAGCTCCTTCAGCTTCCGTAAGTTTGCGACAGTGTCTGAGAACCAGAGGGGCTGAGGGGCCACCTGGGGTGGGAGAGAAGGGGCTGGCGACCAGGTGCTAGGACACACGCTGTCCACTCACTCTGCAAGCAGGCCGGGCACCAAGGGGTGGGGACACAGTGCCACACAGTGACACCTCTACCTCCCCTCGATGTCAGGCTGGGATAGGGGGCGAGGCTTGGGGCCAGTGGAACTGGAGTGAAGGCAGCACTGTCTGGTGAATAGAAAAGGTTTCCTGAGTAGGGGCATTGCCTGAAGCAGGGACATTGGAGCTGGGTCTCAGAGGGTAGGTAGGAGTCTCTCTGGTGGTAAGTTTAGAAAACAGTGGCAGTCCAGAGCAAAGCAACAGCACAGCCAGGCCCTGGAAGGGCAAGACAGCAGGAACCCCATTTTGGGAAGGCTGAATTATAAGGCAGAGTAGAGGGTCATGGTGGGGAAATCAGACTAGGGACGCTGTGGTTAGCAGATCGTGAAAGTCACTAGAGACGTTGAACTCAATATGGAGGGCACTAGGGAGCTATGAGAGGTGTAAGCGAAGCAGCAGCATGATCAGGTTTCCACGTCATACGTATCCTTTGGGAGAATGGCCTGGAGCAGGAGGGAAGTCCTGAGGCTGGGAGATCAGGTAGAGAGTCAACCACGTCCCAGGGGGAGAGGATAAAGCTGAGGGTGCAGGGACTCTGGACACCTGGAAGGGAGGCTAGGTGGTTTGTGGGTTATCGGAAAAGAGGAAGGGAAGCCCCAGAAAGAATCAAACCTTGCCTTGCCTTCAGCCTCTCAGTCTAGTGGGGGAAACAAAGAAGAGAAGAAAAACTACAAGAAAAGACTTAGGAATCTTTAAACCATAAACTGAAACTATTCCTTAAGGTCATGTTTAAACCAAATAATAGTTTATCTGAGTTAATGAAGTATGTCTGCCTCGAGCAATGTGCTCTTTTAAAGAACAATCTATATAGGATCAAATTGACAACAGCAACTGGAAAGGTTAGATGAGAAGCTTAGCAGGCAGGGCGTTGATGTTCATGGCGGTGGACTGATTTGGAAAAGGAAAGCAAGACCAGTTACACAACTTGAACAATGTAATCAATGTCACTGGACTGTGCATGTAGAAGTTGTTGAATCAGCATATCTTTTGTGGTGTATATTTTCACCCAATAACAATAATAGAAAAAGACTTAAGCGTTTTTACTTAGAGAACATTGAGTTTATGTTAAAGATTGTAGAATGATCGGGGAAAGGATAAGGAGAATGGTTGTACACAATGTGAAGAATTTGTGAAGAATGAAGGAAATCCTGGAGGTCTTCCTAAAGGAAGAAGTATTTGAGCTGAGCCTTGAGTGTCTGAGAGGGAAAAAGGAGGTAGCCATCCAGTCCTAGGGCTCCCGGGTGCATGAAAAGGGGGTATATAGAATGGTGAGGGGGTTGGGGAGGAGGGGAAGAGTATAGGGTCTTGACTCATGATGGGGAGGGTAGAGGTCTTCCTGAATGGGGAATTGCAGGTGATTTTTATTTCATTCTTCAATCTCTGTGTGTTCTGCAATAATTACATACCAGGAGGCCCTGGGTGGTGCAAATGGTTAAGCACTCAGCTCTAACCAGAGGAAGACAACAAGTAAGGGGGGGAGTCTGTTTGGTGTCACAAGGAATCAGCGCTTAGCTAATTAAAACTCCGAGACACCAGGGGTTTAGGGTCATTGTAATATGTTCCTGGAGTCCCTGGGTGGTGCGATCAGTTAACACACTTGGCCGCTAAACTGAAAAGTTGGCAGTTAAGTCCACCCACAGGCACCTTGGAGGAAGGACCCGGTGATCCACTTCTCAAAAATCAGCCACTGAAAGCCCCACAGGGTGCAGTTCTGCTCTGACACACATGGCGTCACCATGACTTGAATGACTTCGTGGCAACTGGTTCCAAATACTGTGATTTGTGATTCCATCTGGAAAGCTGAAGGAGGGCTGGACCCTCCTCACCTCTACTTGTCATCCTCCAAGTTATGTTAAGGGGCTCCAGGGGGTCATGGCGGAGCTGAGGAGCCATCTCATCCTCACAGAAGGGGAGGTTAGAGGCTGGCTACAATGAGTGACCTTGGCTTTTGCCAACACAGAGAGCTGGGTGGGAGTGCGAGGCTGGGGCTGTGTGAGGGAGTCCAGGTCCCAGCCCCTCACCTTGCGGTCCAGGTTCAGTGGCTTCCCCAGGAGAGGCAGGGTGATGAGCTTCTTGGTGCCCTGGCTCCAGGCCCCCGAGAAGAAGTCGGCCAGGATGCCATGCCGTTTGAGTCTCTCGGACCCAGACAGGTAGCGCTCGCGGACCACTTCAGCCAGCTGTCTGTGGAGAAGGGACATGGACACATGGACCTGGGGGCGCCTGATGATTCAGAGGTGGCCAGTGGGCTTCTTGGAGGCACTTCCCAAACACCACTGCACTCTGAGGTGCCTTTGGGAGGCTAACAGCATCTGCACTACTTGCTTTGTTTATTAATTATGTGTGTGTGTGTATGAATAACATTTGCCAATTCACCTTTTTCCAGGTACATGATTTAGTGACATCAATGACATTAATTATGCTGTTGCAACCATTACCCATAAAAGTTACCAAATTTTTCGTCACCATAAATAGAAGCTCATTGCTTAGGAAAGACTCCCCCTTCCCCGCCCTCCTTCAGCCCCTGGTAATCACTAATACACTTTGGTCTCTATGGGTTCACCTATTCTGATTTCATATAAGTGAGATCATACGATATTTGTCCTTTCATGACTGACTTATTTCACTGAGAATAATGTTTTCAAGGTTCATCCAGGATGCAGCACGGATCAGGACTTCATTCCTCTTAATGGCTGAGTAGTATTCCATTGTATGTATATGCCACAATCTGTTTATCCCTTCATCTGTTGATGGACATTTTGGTTGTTTCCACCTTGTGGCTGCTGTGAATAGTGCCACAGTGAACAGGGGCATGCACCGCTTGTTACTTAACATTATCTTTAAATCAGCCAGCCTTCTCTCTCTTTTTCTCTTCTTCTTAAATTTACTTTAAAAAGGAACTTTTGGGCTCCTCTGTAAGTTAACATATGACCTAGCAATTCCACTCCTAGGTGTATACCCAAGAGAATTGAAAACAAGTGTTCAAACAAAAAGTTGTACACCAATGTCCATAGCAGTATTATTCACAAACCCAAAAGTTGGAACAACCCAAGCATCCATCAATGGATGGATGGATAAACACAATGTGGTTCGTTCTTACAATGGAATATTACTCAGCCATAAAGAGAAATGAAATCCTGATACATGCTACAATGTGGATAAACTCTGATCTATTTTGTTAAGTGAAAGAAGCCAGGCTCAAAAGACCACATTTCATATGATTCCACTCATATGAAATATCTAGAATAGACAAATCTAGAGACAGAAAATAGATTAGTGGTTGCCTAGGGCTTGGAGGAGGAAGAAATAGGGACTGTGATAGTTAAGGTTGTGTGTCAACTTGGCTGGGCCATGATTTTGAGTGGCATGGCAGCTGGATGTAGTTTTTCCCCATAATGAGACTGGATGTGGTATAATCAACTCCATGGAGGAATCTGCTGTAAGACCTTAATCAGTGGAAGGGGAGTTGCCCTCAGGGTGTGTCTTGCTTTCAGTATATATGGAGAAACTTTGGGAAAGGTCTCTAGATTTTCGGCACATTTGGATCCTGTATTTGGCTGAGTCGTCATCTCTAATTCCTGGACTTGAACCAGTGGACTGCTGTGTTGCCTGCTGATCTTTGGATTATCCCATTTTATGTGACAATCTTGGGTTTGTCAGCCTCAGCAGCCAGTAGCTGCATGAGTTAGGAGAAGTCTCTAGCTCCCATGGGCCTAGAACAAGAGGCAGAGCTGAAGCCCAAAGTCAAGGGGCCTTCACCCAGCCCCTAGAACCAGCACTCTGAATTTGACTTCTAGCCTCCTAAACTGTAAAGGAATAAATCCCTGTTTGTTAAAGCCATCCACTTGTGGTATTTCTGTTATAGCAGCACTAGAGAACTAAGACAGGGAGTGACTGCTAATGGGAATGGGCTTCCTTTGGGTTGCTGGAGATGTTCTGGAACTAGATAGAGTTGGTTGCTAGAGCACTTTGTGAATGGACTAAATGCCACTGAATTGCATACTTTAAATGATTAATTATATGTTTGTGAATTTCATCTCAATTTTTGAAAAAAAGTTACCTGTGATAGAGTTGGTGATGTGGAGACCTTGAAATGCCTTACTAAGTCCTATGGACTAGATTCTTGGGGAAAGAGGAGCCCCAGTGGGGGGGTCTAGAACAAGAAGGACCCCAGTCAATGGGCCCTCAACCTTGACCACCCTGAATCCAGTTGCTGCACAGCACTGGGTCTACCTGTAGGTAAGGGCCAAGAGCATGGAGCCGTCCATGGGCCGCCGGGCCAAGCAGGTGCCCAGGTCTCGCCGGAGCCTCACCCACAGCAGTGGTGGGAAACGGAGCAGCTCCTTGCTGGGTGGCGTCCAGTCCCGGTACACAGCCTGCAGGACTTCATCATCCAAGGACAGGACGTCCTTCAGCTCCGCCTCTGAGAGCCCGTGCCTGTGGGGGGTGGACAGCACGTCTGAACACCCAGAGTCATGTGTCCTCTACACATGGAGGATGCAGAAGTGGAGGGAGGGAGAGACATGGCAAGCCTCTATTCTGAATCCTTAAGTAAACTTATGGTGCTTTGAAAAGGAAACTTTGGAATATCCCTGGGTGGTGCAAATTGTTGGCTTTTAGCCACTAATCAAAAGGTTGGTGATTGAAAACCACCCAACACCAACATGGACAAAAGGCCTGGTGCTGCTTCCATAAAAACTACAGTCAAGAGATCCTGGATAGAG